CGCCGAGGAGTGCTGCTCGTCGGAGTGAGTCGATGTATAGCTATGGTTATCATATGGACTACAATAGCTGATGGTGATGTCAACTACTGTGGCTACCTTATGGTAATCAATTCCTTGTTGCAGATTGTGCTCTTCTCGCCATACTCGCTTCTCTTCGTCAACATCCTAGGCGGGAATAGCTCAGGTCCAGATATCGAGATAGACTATGAAGAAACAGCTACATCTGTGGCGATATATCTCGGTATACCTCTAGCTGCTGGTTTGCTGACACGCTTTGCGTTGCTCAAATTTGCATCGCCGAAATTCAGAGGGTGGTTCTACGACGTTGCTAGCAAGATCGGCTTGATTGGCCTGCTATACACAATCATCGTCCTCTTTGCTGCCCAGGGTACAAACATTACCCAGAACATTGGCAAAGTTTTCAGAACAGTGGTCCCACTGATTTTATACTTTGTCTTGGTGTGGACATTGACCTTTGCAGGGTTTTGGAGACTCAATTACTCTCGGCGTTTTAGTAGCTTCGCTGGTGGTTATGAGAGAGCTGTGACACAGGCCTTTACAGCTGGGTCTAACAATTTCGAGCTCGCGATCGCTGTAGCAACGGCTAGCTTTGGTCCTGACTCACCTGAAACTGTAGCTGCAACACTGGGACCGCTAATCGAAGTACCAGTTCTGCTGTTGCTGAGTTATGTGGCTCTATATCTCCGCCCAAAGCTGTTCAAAGAGGAGGAAAGTAAGGTAAGATTGGAGCAAGCATAGATTGTTATGTAAATACGTGATACTCTTATTGGAATTCTATAAGCGCACATTCATTACTTTATCTCGCCAATCGCTTGATTCACCATCACTTCGTCACCGTTGATTAAGCTCACAACGCGTCCAACTTGTCTCCCCAACTTATTTATTGTACTTTCTATCAAAGTAAGGCATCTGTCATAACTAATTGCAAATCAATTTGTGATTGATCATTGCTGTATATCTCACGAAACATTTTATAATGAGTCG